ACTGGCTGTCCATCTGGCAGGAAAATTTAAAACCCTCTAATTCATGTCATACATGAAAATCAAATTCCAGGTCAAAAATATCTAAATGTAAATAAAGTCTCACAAACAGTAGGAGAACATTGACTAACAAATTTGTACTGGGGCAGAGGGGATGAGCAGAGGAGAAAACAGTCTGTAAGTCACTCATTAAGTCAAGAGTCAACTAAGGAAAGGATTGACAGATTATAGTATATAAATAAAACATTTCTATATGAAAAGATACCTTGTCAAAAGACATGATAGGCTGGGGGAAGCATTTCCAAAACATGGCAGACAGTAGGAGCTAATTTATTTAATGTGCTAAAAAAAAAAAAAAAGAAATGGACAAAGGATAAAGGTGTACCAGTTAATACGGATTTTTTCAATAGATGTTGTTACACATATGTTGATATATATTTGATTTGATATGTATGCTATTTTGTTGTATTACTCCTTCAGATTACCACTTGTTCCGATCAATGGTACACGCACTTTCTGAGCAGCACTTCAAAACGTACGAAGAAGTGGAAAATTGGGTCTCTGAATGGTCTGCCTCAAAACAAGAAAAGTTCTATTGGGACGGTATCCACAAATTACCTGAAAGATGGGGGAAAGATGTAGCTAGCGATGCACATTACTTTGAATAAAGCACTTTTGATGTTTCTCTTGAAGTTATCGTGTTTTCTACAAAATCTGCATTATTAACCAGTTAATAGTTAATCCACACTATTTTTTTTCTTTTTTTTTTAATCCACACCAATAAACCAGTTAATAATCTGCATTTTTAACCAGTTAATAATTAATCTGCATTTTTTTTTTAATTTTTTTTTTTTTAATATATTTTTATTGATTTTAGAGAGAAGGAAGAGGGAGAGAGAGTTAGAAACATCAATGATGAGAGAGAATCACTGATTGGCTGCCTCCTGCACACCCCCCACTGGGGATCGAGCCCGCAACCCAGGCACATGCCCTTGACCGGAATCGAACCTGGGACCCTTCAGTCTGCAGGCCGACGCTCTATCCATCGAGCCAAACCGGCTAGGGCTAATCTGCATTTTTAAATGGTTAATAGTTAATCCGCACTATTAAATGATTTAATAGTTAATCAGCATTATTAACCGTAATAATGCGGATTTTGTAATCAAAGAAAACACGATAATTTCAAGAGAAACATCAAAAGTGCTTTATTCAAAGTAATGTGCATCGCTAGCTACACCTTTCCCCCATCTTTCAGGTAATTTGTGGATACCGTCCCAATAGAACTTTTCTTGTTTTGAGGCAGACCATTCAGAGACCCAATTTTCCACTTCTTCGTACGTTTTGAAGTGCTGCTCAGAAAGTGCGTGTGCCATCGGTCGGAACAAGTGGTATTCTGAAGGAGTAATACAACAAAATAGCATACGTATCAAATAGCATATACTAGTATAACAACATATGTATAACTCTATCTATTGAAAAAATCTGCATTATTAACAGGTACACCTAGTAAATAGCCAGCTCCAAGGAGAGGAAATGCAAGTGATCAATAAACAAGAAAAGGTATTCAACCTCACAGGTAGTTAAAGGAAATTGGAATTTAAGTTATCGAGATTCTTGTATTGTTGACAGTATAGGGAAATGAGTGCCTTTATATACAATCTAGATATGTGCCCTGATTGGGCACGACCTTGGAGCATCAGGATGCCTCTCTAACCAACTGAGCCTCCCGGCCAGGACTAAAAACATCTCTTCTTTAAAAAACATTGAAAGAAAATTACAGAGCAGCCATAGACTAAGAAGATACTTGTAAAACACATAACTAGGGACTTGTATCCAGAATATACAAAGAACTCTGAAAACTCAAATAAGAAATCGAGGAACCCAGTAAAAAGTGAAACTATTCTGTATGATACTATAATGGTGGGTATACACACATCATATGTTTGTCAAAACCTATAGAATGTACAACACAAAGACTGAACTCTAATGTAAACTCTGGACTTTGAGTGATAGTGATGTATCATTGTAGGTTTGTCAGATGTAACAAACATACCACTTTATTATGTTGATAGTGGAGAAGGCTGTGCATGTGTGGGAACTCTGTACTTCCTGCCCAATTTTTGTGTGAATCTAAAGTCTTTTTAAAGGACAAAATATTTTAACAGACTTCACCAGAGAATAAATACAGGTGGCAGATAAACACATGAAAAGGTGCTCAGTACCATTAGTTGTTAATAGACACCTATTAGAATGACTTAAAAAGTTGGCCATACCAAGTGCCGACAAGTATGTGGAGCATATGGAACTGTAACGTAATGCTAGTGGGAATGCAAAATGACAAAGCCACTTAGAAAACAGGTTGTCGGTGTGGCTTAGTTGGGCGTTGTAGACAAAGTGTTTTAATAAAGTTAAACATACACTTACAATA